TAACAATAAAAAAGAACAAAGTACTGATGCACACTACAGATAAACCTTGAAACCATTAACTGAAAGCAGTCACAAAGGACCACATATTATATAACTTCATTTATATGAAATGTTTACAATAGGCACATCCACAGAGACAGAACGCCTCTTAGTGGTTGCCAGGGAATGGAGTGGGGCGTGACTGCTGATGAGTACAGGGTTTCTTTTTGAGGCAATGAAAATGTTCTAGAATTAGATGGCAGTGATGCTTGCACAACTGTCAATATACCAAAACTGCTGATTTATATGATTTTAAATGGATAAAATAAATGTGATATTATGTCAGTAACACCGTTATAAAAATAATCCTAGGAAATGAGGAAAAGAAGAGAGGAGAATGTCCTTAAACTTAGAATGTTATCAAAAACATACAACAAACACATAAGTAGTGACGAGCAGAAAGCCTTCATCCTGAGACCTGGAAGATCAGGATAGCTCCTTCTAACCTTTAGAGGTCGTAGGCAGTACGGTAAATTCTGGGGGTCGGGGAGGAGAACATAATAGGTAGGATTGTAAAGGCAGAATAAACCTGTTACTCATAGATGACACGACAGTGTGTAAATATCCAAAATAATCTACAGGTAAAATAAAAAGAGAGGCCTACAGCCTTGCTGGATACAAAATACACACTCTGAGGCCTCAAAATAGTACGAGTCCCACAGAGTGAGGGCAACTGGTAGTATCTAGGAATATTACACATGCATTTATCCTTTGACTCAACAACTTAACTTCTAAAAGTTGACTTTGTAGATCTCAGTCCACATGAACATGAAGAACCACACACAAGCCCATTCAGATGGGAACTCAAACGTCTATTTGGCACGGAGGTGCAGCCATATAACAGAGGAGGGAAAAAAAGAGGGAAGATCTCCGTGAACTGAGAGCGAGCATACCAAGATACCTCAATAATGCAGGAAAGTGAGGTACATGAAAGGGCATTTTCCTGAGGGAAAAATGGTCTGGTTTTGGGGAGACTTATAAAGAGGAAAAGTACAGAGGATGGGGAAAGGCCCTGCAACACGCCCTGACAGCTTTAACCCGCTGGCCTCCTCCGGGGACAGACACCTGGAACAGCCGGTCCGGGGCTCTGGAAAGAAGCTCCAGCTACACAGCGGGGGAGAAGCAGCAGGCGAGGTCCAGGGGAGGAAGAGCCCCAGCTCCGGAACGGCTGGGGCTGCAAAGTGCGCCCTCAACCCCTCCCTCCCCCGCTCCACCAGCAAACTCGCACTTCTGCTTCCAGTCAGGGGCTGTGTGGGGTGGGCTCTGGAGCTCGCGCCTTCAGAGGATACGCATATGCTCAACATCACTGGTTTAAGGATGCACCGAAAAGCAAACTTGTTTAAATAAAAATTTGATTTTCTTTGCCAGTATCAATTTTCTTATATGCAATAAGTAAAAAAGCTGTATCCCAAAACTTTTCTAAATTCCTTACTCT